AAATTTCTAGATTTAAAGGACTACTGTGTTTCCCCAAAAGTAAGACCTACCCAAAATATAAGCCCTAGCAGGATTTCTATGCATTTATTAAATATAAGCCCTACCCCAATAACAAGACCTAGTGATGGGCTTGGCTATGCAGCGTATCTGCATATAGCCACGCCATGCATTTTGGAGCAGAGAGGAAGATATCCCCTGAAAATAAGCCCTAGTGTGTCTTCTGGGAAAAAATAAATATAAGACAGTGTCTTATTTTCAGGGAAACACGGTAGTATTACAGATGAAAAGAAACCCATGTCAAAGCACATCACAATAAAATTTCACAACACTAACAATAAAAAGAAAATAATACTAACTGAAAAGGCTGAGCACAGTGGCTCACACCTGTAATCTCAGCACTCTGGGAGGCCAAGGTAGGCAGATTCCTTGAGTTCAGGAGTTCCAGATCAGCCTAAGGCACAGCAAGACCCCATCTCTAAAAAAAGAAAAAGAAAAAAAACAAAAACTAGCCAAGCATTGCGGTGGGCACCTATAGTCTCAACTACTTGGGAGGCTGAGGCAAGAGACTCACTTGAGCCCAAGAGTTTAGGGTTGCTGTGAGCTATGATGTCATAGTATACTACCAAGGGTGACAGACTGAGACTCTGTCTCAAAAAAAAAAAAAAAAAAGAGTAAGTTTCTTCATCTTAATGAATTCTGATTTAGCAACTTTTCCTTTTAATGACTGTACTTTTGGTGACATAGCTGAGAAATATTTGCCTAACTCTTGGTTTCAAAGTTTTTCTCTTGTGATTTTTCTCTAGAAGTTTTATAATTTTAGAGTTTATATTCATGTCTAGGTTCATTTTAAATTAAGTTTTTTATGTGTTATAAGGTTTAGATAGAACTTCACATTTTGCATATGATGTACAATAATTCTAACACCATTTGTTAAAACTCATTTCTTCATGGAATTACCTCTGTAGAAAAATCAACTGACAATGTATATGTAGATCAATGTATGGACTCTCTTTCACTGTTCTATTCAGCTATCTTGATGCCAATGCCCCATTACTGTAACTTTATAATAAAATTGAAGTTAGGATCCTTTTGTAGTTCATTAAGTGTGATGACTGGGTTTTCATGTTCAAGCATGAGATATACCTCCTTTAAACCTTATGAAGACGTCAGCATATTACCCATCTGAGGGTTAAAAAAAGGAAAGTATATTCCCACAGGATTTTAAAATCTGCTTGTCAATTTTATTAAAATGCCTGCTGAAAATTTGGAGTCACTGAATCTACTGATAAAACTGAGGAGAACTGACATCATAATATTGCTGAATATTTTGATCCATAAACATAGTACATTTTTCCATTTATTTGTTTTCAAGTATCTCTCAGCAAGGCCTTATGCATCTTTTGTCAGGTTTATCTCTAACTATTTCATTACAAAAAGATTTTTATTTATTTATTTATTTATTTATTTATATTTCCTCCTTCTCTTCTTTTTTTTTTTTTTGAGACAGAGCCTCAAGCTGTCCCCCTGGGTAGAGTGTCGTGGCATTACAGCTCACAGCAACCTCCAAC